TATTTAGTTTGTAATGATGACCATCAGATGCAAGATGTGTTGATCGGTGCCTCAGTGTAATCAATATATAAAAGTACGAATTCATCAATACACAGCTTCTCCGCAGTTGCAAAATTATGTATTGTGGAGAACATTTCAAAAATTGGGAAACCTTTTTCCAATTATATGTCTGTGTGTAGAAAGCACTACTCAGAAACCGATTAAGAAGGTAATTTCATATCAAGAAAATATTTCTTCACGTTCAATCTATTTTTAATGCATTTTTCATTCAAGGGAAATGGAATCCTAATGCGAAAGTTCATTTTGACAAAAGGCTTCAGAAAAGTACCTCGAAAAGGTTTTTTTTACAGCGATTTAATGTGCGCAAGACGCGTTGAAAATGTTCTGTTGTGTCCATGAAAGGGCTTTAAAAAGAACTAGGGAGAAGGTAGTTTTGTGACATATCAAGGACATCTCGATAATTGCCGCCTGCGGCGGACATTGGCTGTTCTATAATAGTTCTATTCATGTGTGAACAGAACATCGCAGTGGAGGTTCAATCTCGTACTTTTAACATCTCTGAGATGTTTTTGTGCTGGCTGGGAGATAGAAGATTAAAGTAAATATTTCCTAATTATGGTATGAATAACAATTTCCCGTAACAGTGAATTCTCTGGCAATTTTTGTTTTTGTATTTGGTACCGGCTTGTATGTACAGAGCCACCTTGAGGATATTCGGTTCGTAAATAATTCCAAGAACCATTTCCGATTTATAATATTGTGAGTTATTGAAGTGAGTCGTAATAACTCACGTTGTTAATTTACAGATACTATTCATTGCTCATAAACAGTTGGATAATTAATATTTAATTTAATAAGAGTAGATAAAGTAGTTTATCGTGATATACAATGAGTAAGACCAAAAACAATACTGCGAAAAAGCATAGGTTGAATGATTCTTCAACAATACCCCCTTTTTTATCGCATTCTTTGTTAATAATTTCGGGACTTCCTACACGGCCAGGCGTATGCAAATTCTTTCCGCGGTATCATTTGATTCAAATTAAAAAAAAAAAAACAATTTGCATGCCTTCATTATTCGTTCAAATTAAAACGGGCTATTCAATTGGTTTCTCGTTATATTTATAGCTTGCTGACTAGAGGAAACGTCCTATAAAATATGTATATTTTCGCTAAAGTAAACCGATACGGCACAGCACGAATGCCCTCAGCAAATTGAAAATTTTGCCTAACTTTTCTGTAGAGGCGAATTTCGGAAATAATATAATTATTGTGTATTAGGGGTTCCCAAATCTAATATTATTGGACATTTTGAAGGTAGTTTATACATATAGAGATTAACAGCATATGTTGTCATTCAATCAGCTCTTGAGCCTAAACGAATCACTTCAGCAAAAATATACTGGTGACATTTCTTGTAGGAAATTTTTTTCCCTTCAATTTTTGTCCCGTTATATATTTTCGGAAAACGCACAGTCTTGGAGATATTGGCAAATAACAGTTTTTGGAAGATAGCGGCGCCAGCGGCATGTCTCGGAATGTGCATTTTGTGAATTTCAGTTCTAGATCCGCGAACCTATCAACCTACAAAGTTTCAGAACTTCCGGACATATTTCCAGGTGAAAATCCCCAATGACTGTCCTATAGGACATGTTGGAAACCCATAAAAATCATGAAAGAAATGCATACTTTAAAAAACTTTGCACAGAATCTGTCATTAACTTTCAGTCTTATAGTTCAACTGGATGTCACAGGAAGGAAAGATAATTTGATAAATTATTCTAGATTTCTTGGGATTTTCTCTCGTTTCTATAAAATGAGAATATGAATATTATTTCAATATACGTGTATACAGGGTGAGTCACGGTGGATGGCCAATCAGAAGTATCTGGAGAACGAAAAGACAGAACATTCTGAAAATTGAGATGCTTTGATAATTGAACATTCTCTATTCGTCTACAATGTTTTCATCGACACTTCTATCAGAAACAACTAGCAACTTTGTTATTTCGAATGGAACACCCTGTATTTTATTTTTAGATTCTTCCTGAGGAGCTGATTTCATCGATGTATCATACTTGGGATTCTGGGGATCAAGCAGAAATGATTACAGATATATAGGGTATTCAAAATCTAGATTTTTCAATTTAAGGATTTTTTTGTGTCGAGACTATTCATTATTGATCAAAACGGCGTACATGTCCAGAGATATAGGGTGTTCAAAATCGAGATTTTTCAACTTTAGGATTTTTTTGTGTCGAAACTATTCATTATTGATCAAAACGGCGTACATGTCCCTAAATCAACTTTTGATCCACTATCTACTGTAATTTAATTGGTAAGAATACAGGGTGCTTCAAGAGTCAGAATTCTTATCACCCTCTATCTGTTCCAGTTAAATGTCAGTAGATAGTGGATCGAAAGTTAATATAGGGACATGTAATCCGTTTCGATCGATAATGAATAGTTTCGACACAAAAAAATCCCAAAATTGAAAAATCTCGATTTTTAACACTCTATATCTCTGTAATCATTCCTGCTAGACCCCAAGTGTGATGCATTGATAAGATCAGCTCTTCAGGAAGAATCTGAAAATGTAATAAACTACAGGGTGCTCTATTTGAAATAACGAAGTTGCTAGTTGTGTCTGATAGAAGTGGCAACACTGTATCGATGGAAACATTCCAGACGAATAGAGAATGTTCAATTATCGAAGCATCCTAATTTTCAGAATGTTTTGTTTTTTTGTTCTCCAGATACTTCTCATAGGCCATCCACCGTGACCCACCCTGTATAGTAAGGACACATCAGATGATTTGCCCCAAATGTCACTTGGACGTTTCGGAAACGAATCTGCTCCCGTTTTCAACATGAAGATGGATTTCTATAGCAAATTCGTATAATAATAATAATACATCTCTATTCACCAAAGAACATACAAACAAGGATCCAAGTGGAGATACGATATCACAATTATTATTATTGTTGAGAGGGCGGAGTGTCAGCCTGAGCTGTTTTCAAACTCAACCGTATTTGTCTGAGTTACAGGATGTTTTCAGTAATTGATCTAGGAACATAAGTACAATATAAGGAAAAGACACATCAACAAATCGAAACTAGCTGAATATATCCTTACTGGAGATGGACAACATATGGCAGAGTGGAATGATATTCAAATCATTGGAAAAGAAGATAACAACCAGAAGAGGAAAATCAAAGAATCTGCTCGCATTCTTCTGAACTCAGAAAATAGCATTGCTTCCTATTCAGTTGATATAGATAGAACATAGTATTCACTACTGAAATCTGAAAATGAAAATGGTGAATTCAAGCTTAATTAATGGAATCATCCTGTAACTCATTTGATTGCAAACGTCACCAATTGTCACTAAGAACTGAGAACTGTCAAGATGAATGCGAAGGACCGCGCACATTTAGTACGTAAAATGGCTTTCGGCTAAATTTTCTGAAAATTTGATATGTTCAAGACATTATCGTCCTTATCACACAGTCTAATTTACAGATCGATCCTATGACCAGTTTTCGAGCTACAGGGTGTCAAACATTATAGATTTTGGCTGTTTAGAATATTTTGCATCAATTTGAATTATGTGCTCTAAGTCGTGATTATTCTTCAGTAGGAATGAACTCTTCACGACTAATATCTACCTCATGAATCCCTCTATTCGGTTAGAGGATAATATCACATACAGAGTATTGCATTCCATCATGACAAGGTAATATTATTGGAAAAAGACAAATATTGAAAACATCAGAATTTTGATTTTTACTCAATCACTGAAAACTTGAAAACAAACGGCTAGAATCGGCCAATTATGTGACACAGTATGGGTCTTGATCATAAACATGAGGATTCATATGATTACCTCTGATACCATGTTCGGTTGGCCATATATAGGGTGATGACAATTTGAAAGCTTATAGAATTGATGTAACTCAGGTACAAAATGAGATACATTTCTATAATATATGAAGTGGAAAATGAAATGTCTCATGAAATAAACCACCCCCACCAAGCCCCTGATGAGTCACAACCACCCCAACGCATATCATCTCTATAGTAGCCCCTACTTATTGTGATACCTCATTGAATAGCTTGGTGAAAATACATTTCAGTGGTATTATTCATATCTCGAACTGGGTGAACTAATAAAAAATATTCATTATTAATTAATCATATGAATCCTCATATTTATGATCAAGACCCATACTGTGTCACATAATTGGCCGATTCTAGCCGTTTGTTTTCAAGTTTTCAGTGATTGAGTAAAAATCAAAATTCTGATGTTTTCAATATTCTTGTCTTGATGGAATGCAATACTCTGTATGTGATATTATCCTCTAACCGAATAGAGGGATTCATGAGGTAGATATTAGTCGTGAAGAGTTCATTCCTACTGAAGAATAATCACGACTTAGAGCACATAATTCAAATTGATGCAAAATATTCTAAACAGCCAAAATCTAATGTTTGACACCCTGTAGCTCGAAAACTGGTCATAGGATCGATCTGTAAATTGGACTGTGTGATAAGGACGATAATGTCTTAAACATATCAAATTTTCAGAAAATTTAGCCGAAAGCCATTTTACGTACTAAATGTGCGGGGTCCTTTGCTATACAAATATCCATATTTTATGTTGAAAACGGGAGCATATTCGTTCCCGAAACGTCCAAAGCTAAAATTCGATATTTCTTCTATATACCTTTATTTCATTTCTTCAAACCTTTTTCAATACAAATTGTCACTGACATGCTGGTAAATTTCTCTTTCGGGCTCTCTGATAGAAAAATGCTTTGAACGCAGTGACATTTTGGGGCGAATCATCTGATTTGTCCTTACTACACGTATATTGAAATGATATTCATATTTTTATTTTATAGAAACGAAGAGAGGAAATCCCAGAGAATCAGGAATAATGAATGTACCACCTCCTCGATTAACCTACAGACAGTTTTCAACTTGATAAAACTCTTACCTGAAATGCCATCGTAGGTCCACCATTCCTGCCAGTTGTCGCATCCCACTGCAACAAAAAATTCATAATAAAAATGATGACTGAACTTTTTCTTGGAAATTTCATCAGCTTCAACTTCCACTCCAGAGGAAGACGGAAAAGGGTGCGAAAGGGCTATATCCGAATGTTAAACCGAGATCTGCTATAAAAAACATCGTTTTTATTGGTGCCAGTAACATTTGGCGGAGGAGAAAATTCTTGGGGGAGAATCCGTATATTGCGATTTCCCCTTGTTTTGTCGTCGTGTCACTGTCCCGGCGTCAAACTGGAAAAGTGGATATTCAATTTATAGGCTCGCATTAAGAAATATAAGAATTCTGCTCCAGTGACGTACCATCAAATATTAAAACGATTGGTATCCTTATGATCGATACATTTATATTGATGGAATCACAAATTTTTTTTTTCAATTTTATTTCACAAGGATCTGGAGAATGAAGTACAATTACAAGATGATTCATATTGAGATGATGACGTCAACGATGCTTCCGTATAATATCGTATATTATTACATTTTCCAATTCTACGTTAAATTCTATGGCATTTGGAATTGTTGTCCTATCTGGTGATGATATTTTGATCTCCTTGAAGAATTCTATCAAATTTTTGAAGGAAAAGAATTCTCAATGTATTTCTTCATATATATTCATATAAATATAGGTAAAACTAGGTTTATTGGGGAATGCAGCAAAGTGGAAAGAGTACTCTTTAAAGTTTGTCCAAGCTTTTGCAATATTATATTTCCATCATCAGGGTAATCTTTGTTGAGGTTGGTTCACATTGATGTTGATGATGATAAAATTGTATAGGACGATAATGACATAGTTGAGAAGACGAACAAAAAACAGGATCATATATATATACAGGGTGATCCACGGTGGATGGCCTATTAGAAGTATCTGAAGAACGAAGAGACAGAACATTTTGAAAATTGTGATGATTTGATTATTGAAAATTCTCTATCTGTCTTGAATATTTTCATCGATACAGTGTTGCCACTTCTATCAGAAACAACTAAAAACTTTGTTATTTCAAATGGAACACCCCGTATTTCATTGCATTTTCAGATTCTGCCTGAGAAGCTGATCCCATCAATGCGTACTTGGGGTCTAGCAGAAATGATTACAGAGATATAGGGTGTTCAAAATATCAAAATCGAGATTTTTCAATTTTAGGATTTTTTTCTGTCGAAAGTATTCTTTATCAATCGAAACGGCTTACATGTCATTATCTTAACTTTCAATCCACTATATTTCCTTGAATTTGATTGGAAAAAATACAGGGTGCTTCAAGATTCATAATTCTGATCATGCACCATGTGAACCGTTTTGATCGATTATGCGAATAGTTTCGACCCAAAAATACTAAAATTGGAATATCTCGGTTTTGAACACCCCATATCTATGTAATCATTCCTGCTAGAGCCGAAGTGTGATGCATTGATAAAATCAGCCCCTTAGGAAGAATTTAAAAATGCAATAAAATATAGAGTGCTCTATTTGAAATAAAGAAGTTGCTAGTTGTTTCTGATAAAAGTGGCAACACTGTATCGATGAAAATATTTCAAACAGATAGAGAATGTTCAATTATTGAAGCATTCCAATTTTCAGAATGTTCTGTCTTTTCGTTCTCCAGATACTTCTAATAGGCCATCCATCGTGGATCACCTTGTATATATCAATTTTTTTCATGTTCATAATTTATCTGTGGATGTTCATTTTCAATATATTATGAGTAAATTTTCGAGAAAGGAGAACATAATTAGTTTTCAGATATGGAGAAATAGGCAAAATTGAAATAGCAGTCCTAGATCAATCCTATTGCATGGAATAAAACATCTTTTGAGATATTTGCCTATCGTTTATTGTTATAATTATAGATATGAGAAACAAAATCTCATATCACCTGTTCATTTCTATTCTGACATTCATTCATAACAAATCATGAGAATGATGGTTGTATCTGGAAAACACTGAATATTTGTAAGGGTGGCCAACTAAGACTCCAGAGTTCGATTTCTCTGTTGTCTTGAGAGATACAGAAATAAGTCATGTTTCAAAATTGAAGTAATAATCGAGCTTCACATTTCAAAATTTCTTTGAAATACACAGGGTGTTTCGTAAGGTCACAGCACATCAAAGCTATGTTTTTTTTATTGGAACACCCTATATTTTATTCCATTTTTGAATTCTCCCTGAAGATCTGATTTCAACGACGTATCATACTTAGGGTCTAGCAGTGAAAGTTACTGACATATAGGGTGTGCAAAATCGAGATTTTCCAAGTTCAGAATTTTTTTCTGTCGAAACTGTTCATTATTCGTCAAAACGGTTCACATGTCCCTATCTCAACTTTTCACTCACTATCAATTGGTGTTCAATTGACATTTAATTGAAACAAATTATAAATTAAGATTTTTTGACCACCTTGTATCAATTTCAATTGAACACCAATTGATAGTGAGTGAAAAGTTGAGATAGGGACATGTAAACCGTTTTGAAAAATAATGAACAGTTTCGACAGAAAACAATTCTGAACTTGAAAAATCTCGATTTTGCACACCCTATATGTCAGTAACTTTCACTGCTAGACCCTAAGTATGTGGGTCGTTGAAATCAGATCATCAGGGAGAATTCAAAAATGAAATAAAATATAGGGTGTTCCAATGAAAAAAACATAGCTTTGATGTGCTGTGACCTTACGGAACACCCTGTGTATTTCAAAGAAATTTTGAAATGTGAAGCTCGATTATTACTTCAATTTTGATACATGACTTATTTCTGTATCTCTCAAGACAACAGAGAAATCGAACTCTGGAGTCTAAGTTGGCCACCCTGTACATAGGAAAATAATAGATACCTCCTCATTTCCCCGAATTGTGTGAAATTCTTCAACACTACGGAATGCATGACAAATCAAAAATGATAGGACCTGCCTAAATGTTCATATATTGTTTGATTGCATGTTCATCCATCCTATTCATGTTAGTAATCCTATTGAAGCACTTAGTTCCAATGTGTCTCGTTGAATGAACATTCGATTTTTGTCTTGACTTTTTTGAATGTAATATTGTACTCATCCCCAATTATACATATTGAAAGCTTGCTCATTTCCTCTGAAAGATATGCAAGAATGGTGCCTTGAAAATTGGCTCATCCTGAATACTGACAAGAGAGTATACATCAATTTTCACATCATCAAATAGTTCCAGAAGATTTCGGTAGTGATACAAAATTCAGTGAAAGTGTCAAGATTCTTGGTACATGGTACGATTCAGATTTCAGTTTCTCCTCTCATATCGACCATGTTTGTAAGGAACTGAATAAAGCATACTATGCAATTCTTCACAAATAAAACCAATTTTGGACATAAAAGGACGTTTGAACTTATACTATGCATTTGCATTCAATATTAAATAACATCGCAACAATATGGGGTCTATCAAAGGCGCACATCCCACATAAAGGTCTCCACTTCACAGAAAAGAATTGTCAAACTATTATTTTACCTGGATTTCCGTGAGTCATGTCGATCAGTATTTAAAGAGCACTGTGTTCTAACTCTCTATTCAATTTTCATTTGAAGATTTTCGATATCAGCATTTTGGAAAACAATCATTGCTACTCATCAAGAAGCTTCATTTTGGATATACCAAAACATAAAACATCAACCTTCAAAAAGTCTACCCTGTTCGAATGCATATCTCTGTATAAAAAATTACCGAAACACTTGAAAAGATATCAATAGCTTCGCACAATTGGAAAACGCCACAAAAAATGTCTATTGGAAAACTGCTTTCATTACATGCAGGAATTCCTAACAAATCAATTCAAATATTGAATTTTCACATAACAAATAAATTGTTGAATAAAATGTTTCATTGAATTTGTACCGTATACCCATTATTTTTCTATAAGCGGAGCAGAGTTCTAATAAGTTTTTGCGCGCGGAAAAGACACTTTGCGCACGTGTTAGGAACAACATTTTCCCTACGAGCTTCATATCAAGTGAAAAGGATAATAACAAAAATATATAACTTATTGAAAAATGTAACTATACAACGATCACATATAACAATAAAATATAATAATAGAAAATAACATTTTCCCTACGAGCTTCATATCAGATAACGAAAATGAAAAAATTTCAACTTGAATTACACTTTATTGAATGATTTTCAGTTAAACTTGATAGAAATAGATAAACAACAAACAATTACATATCAATAAAATATAATGATAGAAAATTAAATGATTTGTTCCTAATATTCATATTGAGGTGAAATGCAAATATCGGGAAGAACGGTTGAAAAGTAAAAGGGATAACGGCTTCTTATAGTGCATACAATAGTCTATAGCAACTAAAATGAATATAAATGTTCCATACCAGTGAGATTTTTGGGTAGTTGTACTTATCCGCACGCCGTGCGGATAACACCCATATCCGCACCGAGTGCGGAAAAATATCACTTTGCGCACGCAAATGAGTGCGGAAAAGTACTACTTTGCGCACGCTCGTAGGAAAAAGTAATTTTTTATTCGATTTGATTTCGATGGCCTACCCCTATCGCTCCGCCACTGGACCGTCACCCCAAAGATAGGGTCCCGAATCCCCTATTCGTCGAAACTCGATCCAATTCTCGTGAAGCTATAACTGAATCTGTATTGCCGCGGGACTGAAACGTCTCCGTTTCAGACTGCGTTCGCAGATAAATACGGATAAGGAAACGCACACAGCCGATGATAAACCGAATTAAGAGCGGTCCCTGATGGGCGGATGCGAGTGAAGATGGATCAGCGAATCGGGGTCGAAACGAGGGCTATATCAGCGCGATAGCGCATTTTTATTTTTTGGCGCGTACGAAAGGAAATTGCTATAATGTTTGAAGAACATCGTGGGTACCTAGGGATGATAGAAGGAAGTAGGTGTTCGGTAGGTAGATTGGGTCCCTGATAACACACCCCCACCCGTTAGACATCCAATGGATATCCTCAACTGGACATCCTGGA